ATTAATATGACCTACAGAAGTTGCTGACCTTCATTAATTAAGGTCTTCAACTAAATCTTTCTATCAATCAAAATCTTTAAAGAAGTATTTGAATTTATTATAATGTATAGATTAGGTATTTGACAGACCTACATGATTTATTAGAGTAAAATTTAAGATATAATAATCAAATCTATTAATCTATGGATAATCATAATTATCGTATACTTGACACTACCGATTAAATATTACTATAAATACTTCTCAACAAATACTTAGAGGGGGAACGAACATTTTATAATTTTTACACTATCATTCTTCTCATTACTTTATGATCGACTCTCTTTTACATAAAAACATCGATCAACAACCATTATTTACCGAACGTGACTCTTTATTTAAATCATAAGAGATAAATAATCAATGATCAATCAAATAAATTTATTCTCATCAATAATATTAAATAAATCAAATCTATTTAAAACTCAATAAATTCGGAAATTTTACTATCTCTACGTTTATCTTGCATTCAATAAAATAAAATAAAAAACCATCCACTCCTATTTATAGGTTAAAAAAAAAGTGTGTATCAGCTGTCAACAAGCTCATAGAATTTAGGGATTGCAATTTTGAAAGGAAGTGAAAGATAATGAAGTCATAGAACACACATGAAACGCTGGAGAATTCTGTCACTTTAATCCAGGCTCCAGTCTCCATCATGCATAATTGAAGCTAATGTAAACATGATTCACGACACTTGTTTGAATATCCAGTCATCAGTCAAGAAAAATCCATCATTTTTGCACGTTTTCTCATACTCTTTTACCTGCGCACATGACCCGTCTTTGTCCCTGCAAAACTAAAAACAAATGAAATTGTGGGTTCTGAAATGGAAGCCATACCAAACTCCCGAAGCTCGCACATGGAACCACTACTTCTGTGTTCATATGTCAGTGCTTTCTCCTGCTACGTCCTTCACTCTCATTTTAATTATACAACATATTTCTCCAATACGATAGGCAGCATGCAATGTCATTTCTATGTGTTTTCCTTCCATCCTTGGCCTATTGGTATGAAAATTTCAAAAGATATTGGTTAAATTATCGGTCCGCCTCCTTTAATATGTTCAAATCTTATATATAATCCTTATACTTTAGTTTTGATATAGCTTATTCTTTCTATTTTAATTATTATAGCAGTTGATCCAAATAGTTAAACTGATGCGTTGTCGAAAATTATTCGTTAAACCAAATAACTTTATTTTTAATAATTGAGATAGCGACTACGATTTGTACCCTGGATAAGAACGTCAATATAATTCAACCATTGAAACTGTAGATAAGAATGTTAATATAACTTGATAATAGTTAATTTTATTGAATAAAAAGGAAATGTGAGAAGAATTTAGAACTATATTATTTAATCATTTTCATAAAATTATTAGAGTGCACAAACTATTTATTATAAAATAAAATAAGACTACACAAATAAATGATACAAAATTAATCAAACAGCTCATAAAATAATAAATATAAATAAACACTACCATCAATAGTGAAATATAAACACTATCGATATTCATGTAATAAGTGATGATACGTTGATAAACTGACTTTATCATAATTTATTCGTGAAATAGATATATATAAATAATATGACGTAAAAGCTAAGTTAAAAAAAATTATACAAGAGTAATAATAGAAACATCAAACATTTTTATTATAAAAGTGGAAAATTTATCAAAACAAAAATAACACAAATTCAAACATACAGCATAAAAAATTAATTTAAAAGAAAACAAGAAGAACTATAATAAATTATATATTAACGTATTTAATTACTATTTTTAGGTAAAATTAGGGTCAATAATGTGGCCTCCACTTTGCTTGGGAAGTGCATTAACTTATCGAAAAATGTCCGATTTCACATGGACTTGCCTCTTTCAAAAGTGCATGCAAGCGGGGTGAATTTGCATCGTTGAAGTAAGTAAACAATCACAAAATTAACAATACTAATAATAGTTATAACCCCTACCCTCTAATACGATTTTTATTTTATCAACGACCGTTTAGACTTCCCATGAAATTGAAGACCATATATTATAAAAGTTCTTCACATGTCTATGCAAAATGCAACTCACCCACTTCTAATGAATAATTGAATATTAGAGATGACGCAATAGGTTTAGTTTTGGGATCACAAACATTTAATTATTAATTAAAGAGGGGATTAGTGATAATACTAATTAAATTATTGAATAAAAATGGGTAGGGTTTAGATCTCATAATGCTCTTTGTCTCCAGTGGAATAAGTAGGGGAATTTATGATCATACGCATTGCATAGGCCAGCCTGTGCTATGTTTACCATTCTGTATCCTAGTTTAGTCTGATTGACTTATTCGGTTGGATTTGAAATAATAGTATTATAAATTATATTTTTGTATTTGTTTAAATTTAATAATTTTTTTATATAAATATCAGGATAAAGAACATAAATGACCAACTGATTATAAGATATTGTTTTGTTAAGTATATTGATTATTAAATGTTACAAAATGATGTTTTAACTAAAGAATGTTGTTTTATTGAGTCAGTCAACTATTAAAAATTACAAAACTGATCATACGACTATTCATATGTTTTAAAATTGTCATTTTTCGTTAAAAAATATCGATCGTGTGCGCTTGACGTTAATCTATTAATTGAGATATGATAAAATTTGATCCCAAAACCGTTTGAGTTGTATTTTGTGGATCGACTATTTATTTACATTATATCATCAAATCAATGCTTGAAACATTACGTCGTCGAGCCAATGTTTGAAAGTAACGGCAATGCTAGTAGACATTATTAAAAAAATGATTTTATCATATCACAATCAATATGTTAACGTTCAACTCAGACGATTATCAATGACGAGTTTTAAACATATGATCATCGAATGACCATTTTATAACTTTTAAAAGTCGAGAGACTTAATAAAACAGAATCCCATAATTGAAAAATTATTCTATAACTTTTAATAATCGAGAGACTCAATAAAATAGCAGTTTATAATCGAGAGACTATTTATATACTTCACCCTAAATATTATTATTTCAATGGTTTGTGGGAGGAGCATGTGTAGAAAAGTAATTAACAATACTCTATTAATATTGGTCTTAGTCATTAGGGATAGATTTTGGACCAACCGCTCCTTCCCTCCACCAGCCAAGAACTTTTCTAAATTAATCATCCATGTGCTGGAAGCGGTCCAGAATTAATTTACTCTACTTTCGTTTCTCCCCTTCGTTTATTACTGATATTCCCGCTTTTCATTTTTCACTCCCGCCTTTTTCTTTCACTTATTTGTTTATTTTTAGATTAATCATCTAAGATTAGTAACACTCCAATATCAATATATACATGTTTGTATGGAATGAGTCAATGAGACCTAAAAAGGCACCAACTTGATCAAATATAATTATATTGCTGTCAATAAATTTTGAAAAATATCACTTTGATAATGTCGTTTCAGCTTAATCGTTTCACGATACAGCTTCAAACTTATCACTCTATAGATAACTACTTTTAGATCATGTCAAATGACTATTGTAATATTAATTTAGCTCGAAGAATTCTATCTTAAATTATTTTTATATCATATGATTTAATAGATAATAAGAAAAATTATTAATATTTATCCCTTCATCTGATAGAAAGTATAGATTAAAAATAAATCTAAATCCTTAAGCAAGAACTTAGAGTGATCTATTTTGTCTAATGTTATAGAGTTGGTAAAGGTTGAGACTCTACATTATTGGGTACTAAAGTTCAAGTCCTATCACATATATGTAATTTCAATTCAGATTTAATATAGTTTGAATTTTACAGTGTAATTATTTTGGTTATTAACCCATTCGTTTGTGTGTTACAATAACTAATTACAATTATAGTTGTACTGATGCAAGAATTGTATTTTTTTAATATATACAAGAATTTATTTGCAATTGTAATTTTAAATGTTAAAATAATCATTTTTTTGGGTTGTGTCGCGGCTTCTATCCTTGGATCAGGGCTTGCTTTTGTTGTCTGGTTAATAGAAACATAGGCCCAAATTCAGCCGGGCGGGGCTGTCCTCTTGTCAATGGGTTTCCCAATATATATAAAGCTAGCGCATTTGAGAATGAACATTTAATATGAATCTGACAAGTTTGACTTGATTTATAGAATTTTTAAATTTGGATTTAATTATATATGGGTTAAATGTTTTTATGTGTAATGTCGAAATGAATTCAAATTTATGACGAAAAACAATTGAACTAACCAAGAAATAATAGCATAATTAATATTTATATATTTTAGGGATAATTTTTATAATATTTCTCTTTATATATATTCTTCAATTAAGTCTTTATTTTACCTAATAAAACATAAATATTATGTATATATTTGTTCATGTTTGTGTTGGGCGGGGTGTGAATTTTTAATTAAAAATTAGATTGAATTTTGGATCAAATAAAATTTTCAAAATCTAGATCAAATGACAGGTAAAAAAATTGTTATACTTGGATCGAATTTTTTGACCCGACCCATAATGATCCCCATTGTGCAAATCGATAACCTTTCAATAAAAATCATCTATTCAAGCGAAAAGTACATGAAAACTCCTGCCATGAAAACCAGATGAGCATGGGGGGAAGTAGATCTTTATATGCATTCTATGCTATGCATAAACATACAAGATTGAAGCTTTACAAACCCTTGTTGATTTCACAGTACAATTTAGCATTTGTTTTTCTTATTGATAGAATTTAATGAGGAAATGGAATGTATCGAAAGGCATTGAAAAAGGTGGAGACAGCGACAAATGACTTGCGGCATTGCCATTGCATTCATAATAATAATAATAAGCTGTGGATGAAGATGGGTTTAAAGATAAGGTTTGGAGGTCACAATCCCAATTCACACAAATACAAAAACAGCCGTCATTCTCCTTAATCCTTATGCTTCTCGCTTACAACACAATAAATAAATAAATAAATAAAGGTTAGTGTCTTAAGATTGATGGAGGTAAATGCAATAACATTTGTAAGTAGAGGTTTTGAATAAACGAATGGCCCCCATAATTACTGGATTAGTACCAAATATTTTTGAAAAACAGGTTTAGTTGAGTACTTACAAAGAAACCACGGAGAGCAAATCGAACCAATTTTGCGTAAATATGCGGTCATGATCTCAACTAAACTGCGTCCTGTTCGTTTTTCATTTACTCTCTTTTAATCTCAGGTCAGAAATCATCTAATTTGATCAACTGTTTTGATTGAAATAAGAGGTCTGCGTTGATTGTAATCTCTATGTGGGATCTGTCTAATTTTGTTTAATAGTTTGTGTAGTTCATAATTACACGAATTCAAACTCTGGGTAGTGTACTTTTTTGAATATATAATATAGTTTCCTCTTTCTCTTTTTTTTTTTTGGGGATGATACATGGGTTGGTTGTTGTTTTGAGTGGTTTTGAGCCTTCTTCTTCTTTGCTGTTTGACCAAACTGAGTAAAGAAATACTGGTTTTCATGGGTTAGTTCATCTCAGTTTGTGAAGAATGTCCTTCCTGAAGCATCAATCTTATTTTGTAAGTCCCAAAAATGACTTTATATATTCAAGGGTAGGAATTTTTTTAATGAATCTATGTATATTTGATTATATCTATGTTTCCAGTTTGATTTCTCTATTCATGAGTGACTCCTAGATCTTCTAGTATCCATTGATCCTTGTGTTAACACCTTCGAATATTGTTGAAGAATCAAGTAGTATTAATTTTGTTTTCCCTTCTTTTTAAAACTTTTGTTACCCAGGGTTAAAGCATTTTTTGGAGTTTGAATATCATGAATTTCAGAAAAGGGAACATGGTGGAGGTTTTAAGAAGAGAAGACGATGATGATCCATGTGGCTCTTGGTTTACTGGTAAAATCGTTTCAGCCAGTGGCGAAAACCATGTTGTTAGGTACAAACTTCTTATGGACCACAAAGAAAAACAAGTGGTGGAGAAGGTGCAAAGGAAGGATGTTAGACCCTTACCTCCAAGTGTAAATGGGAAGAGTTGGGCAGTCGGCGATGTGGCCGAAGTGTTTGATATCAGGTGTTGGAAGGCCGGAAAGGTCGCAAAGGTGTTGAAGAACAACCATCGATTCATTGTGAAGTTGTTCGGGTCAATCCAACTTAAGGAATTTCATGCATCGAGTTTAAGGATTAGGCAGTCTTGGGATGGCAAGAAGTGGATGGCGATTGGGAAGGTCTTTATTTCATCTTGCTTTTCCCCTAATTCCCCTAGATTTTTATCTTTGGAGTTTAGCATCAAAAAGGCATATTTTTCTTCAAGTTTAGTAGAGTCAATCTAAGATAAAAATGACCGGTTTTCTCCTAATATATTTCTTGCTCAGTGACCTGTGACATGAACATCTGCTATCATTAGCCTGTGAGAGGTCACTGGCATGGTTGGCTTATTCTGAGAACTGGCTCGGATAACTCGATCCTTACTGCTATTCTTATAATAACCATTGTAGTTTGTACGTCTGATATTGCGAGAGGACCTATAACAAGTCCTCAATGATATGTTGAACCTAGCAATTTATCTAAACCAGACTTCATGTGATTGCAGGTTGCTAAGTGTAAAGACTTGACCAGGAATCGTACACTGAAATTTCCATACCGTTCTGGTGGCTTTCTTTTCAGGACATCATTGCATTTAAGCGAAACCCCTCGATACAGAGAGGGGATGCATAAGGATGAGGCTGATAATTTGACCGTGTGTATGTCCATGAGAGCCACAAGTAAAGGCCACGACCGTCAATCTAAAGGAATCAAATTAAACCCGATCATCGGAGGAAGCCTCAGGAAAAGGAAATCCCCACATTGGTCTAGAGGCTGGATTGATAAAACTCTGAGGAGAACATGTCCTCTGTTTAACCAGGTAGATGATATTTCTTTCCCACATGTAGGGGTTGATGAAAAAGACATTAAGCGATCAATTAACAGGAATAACAGAATGGAAAACGCACCTAGTTTCTGTTCATATGATTCTTGGAGACCTGTTTTGTCTGCTGAAGATAGTGACCAATGCTCGGTTGCTAGCTGTAGTTCTAACCACGTTGCTGACTATGCCAGCCAAATTTCACGAAGAACATTAGAAAACACACCTGATAATTCTGAGGCTGAGTCATCATTCCCTTATTCGTGCGACAAAAGGGACCAACCCTCGTCCTCGGTTTCTGATAAAGTTTTCGATATCCATGGACTTGAGCTCCGTGCTTACAAGTCGACAGTCAAGGCTTTGTATGCTTCGGGTCCTTTAACTTGGGGACAAGAGTTCCTGTTAACAAATCTCCGCCTCTCCCTTAACATTTCCGACGAGGAACACCTACTCCAGCTGAGGAACCTTTTGTCTGATCAAGTTCTGTGATTTCGGTATGTCTGCTATCGTTTGAGGCCAACCGCTCGGAAAATGACAGTTTTGAGTTGAGATCTGTGGGGCAATTGCAGCAAAATCTCCTGCAGGCGCCACCTTATGACCTTAACCTTCCTAGACGTGTAAATTATTTCCAGGAATTGAGTTTTACTTCTTGATGCTTAGAACCCAATAACAGGAATTCATGTCTCATAAAATGATTTGACTGAATAAATTTCAGTAGATTTTTATTTTTGTGATATCCACGTCTTATGCTTTCTTAACATTCCTGTGAGTAGAAAAAAGGTTTCGGTACCAAACCATATCTCTTACGCAATCATGATGCAAAAGTTAATGTTTTAAAAGTTGTTAGCAGCATGCATTGCTAAGTATATGTCCCTTGCAGTCTGGCTGTTCCACATAAGTTCTCAATGTCTTTCTAAGGTTGCTGGCCAAAGAAAAACTACAACTATTTTGCAACTCTAAATCCACAATCTTAAAATTTGTAATAGCATATAAAATGTCATGCCCAACCAAAATCTCTTCCCTCTTGTGTTGCAAACCAAGCACAGTAGATATAATTACGAAAGCCTTTTCTCTCCCGCCCAAGGGGCATGGATTTAGTCTGCATAAGAGACCAATCCCCTCTGTCCGGATGGGGAGCTTGATTTGGACTTGTCAGGGGATGCAGACCTTCTGTTGCGATCTCTTGGTGGTGAGATATCAGGAGCTCTAGAACGCGAGGACCCACTACTCCTTGACCTAGAGGACCTTGACCCCGATTTGTCTTTGTATGGGGAGCGGTGATCATCGATTCGAGGACCAAGACGAGATTTCAACCCCTTGCTTATGGCAGGTCGTTTGTCTCTAGGACTAGGACTTCGAATAGTACTCTGGCTCTGACTTCGATCTCTGTATTGACCCCGATAACCAACTGGGCTGCGAGAAACACTCCTACTCCTACTTCTTCTGCGCCCATATCTACGAATGAACATAAATTATTTTCCAGTTTCCTACAACGTACTAGAATAAAGGGAAAAAAAGACTTATCAATTGCATATATGAAATATTCAAACTTAGATTAACGTAAATGAGCAAATGGACGGTCCATCATTTCAACTACTTAGCTCATAAATAAATAATAAAAACATTTTCTTCTTTGGCCTTGGTTATATATATATATATATTCATTCTTATAAATAAAATCAAAGATGCAGTTAACTAACAATGTAACATTTTTCTTGGATTTTTAATTTTTTTTTGAGATGGTGATCCTCATCTAACTTTTACATCGTGTAAAAAAAAGTTGGTTCTTAAATTAAGAATTCTTTTCCACATCGTATCGAAGGGCCAATTGGCACAGAAATTAACAGAATAGAGGTTGTTCACAATGATTTGTCCTTTAGAATTTTTATTTTTACTAAAAAAACACAAACATATATTAGAGAACTTTTGATGGAAAAACAATACATTGTAACATATTTTAGAAGAGCTGAAAACTAACTCGTCTAAATTAAATAGATATTATAGTTTTGAAAGTATCTGAGTAACTAAAGCCTATACGAAAAGTGCTAGAGCCTAGAAATACTATATATACTGAATCAGGTAAGCAAGAATAAAGCTGAAGTGATGAAAACAGATTTCATCAATGTATAGAATAATGACTACTTGCTAACAACGAATTCCATCTCAGAACGAATCAATATGTTCACCAGAGAAAGTTAAGAAAGAACCTGGGTGGACTATGGCCTCTTGCCGGGCTTGTACAGCGTCTGCGGGTTGATTGATCTGAATTATTTCTGTACCTAGAATATCTTCACCCAGAAAAAAAGAAAACAAAACAAAAAGTTATCGAGTTCATGAAAAGGGAAAACAACAGCATCCTTCGAGTCAGTCAAATTATAGTCCAGGATTACCTATCATTGTTTCTTTCTGGAATATTTCTTCCACCATAATGGTAGGCTCTTGGTGGGGAATGCTCGGGAGAAGGTGTACGGTATCGGCGTGCAAAGGAATAGCGGTCAGTGAAGCCACGACCTTTTCTTACACGCTTTGGTTTGCCACCTGGAGACGGACTTCTTGAGGAAATACGACCTTGGTTAGATGTAGGGGCTTTCCTTGAAGGACTACTCAATGTGCTATGGGTAGTCCTTCCCTGGTTCTGCTCGTGAGATATCTGAGGAGGGCTTTTATCATCATCCTTGGGAGGAGTCATGCTCTGGCTGCGACTTCTGTTTGGCCTCCGTTTTGTGGTTGGGCTCACACTTCTGTGAAGCACATGGTAGAAGAAACATTGGTAATAAAATCACAAAGTAGATTTCACCGAACATGGATCTAAATGCTAGAAGCAACCCAAAAAAATACAAAAGGAATTATGTAAGAATGAAAACCTTGATCTGTCTGAGCCATCTATATGGGTATGTTGTTTAGCAGCTTTGTTTCCGTTACCGTTGTTGGGAAGCTCATCACTTTTTGGGGACAATTCACCTTCTTCGTGCGAGTTTTCCTTGGTGACCTTCAACTTATTCCTTTCTAGCCCTGCATTAGAATCTTAGTTAGAAAATTGGCCTGGCACATTTTTTCTCTACATTTGTAGCATCATAATTTACCATTAGCTTGTACCAAAGGATCAACATTAAGATGCCTATAGGATCTTTTCACAATCTCCTCCCATAAAAGCATGGCTTTTGTTCCCTGTCACCTATACTAATAAATAATGCCAGGGGAAGACTTGCTAATTTAATGTTACATGATTTTCAGAAATGAGTAGAGGGATTTATATAAGAATCTAACATCTACATGATTGGTGGAAATGAGTAGAGGAATTTGTATGAAAGTGCAACATCTCTACTTAAAGAATTTTACGATTTACTGAAGTCAATTCCAGAATCAACTGCCAATAGCCTTGTACACGAGTATAAAGGGAGCTAGAGTGAAGAATGAGAAAATAACGGGCTAAAACAGTTGAGGATAGAAATACCAAAAGATTCACCTTCAGCAGGTTTGGGGATACAATTGGCATGAGCAGAAACACGGCGAGAACCAGCTTTCTCAACATCGCTGCCACTGCTGGAGCTTGTACTCTCACTTTCACTGTCAGTTGAACTATCTGAACTCCTGAAATAAAACAAGTACCAACAAGTATAACAAAACAAAACAAAACAAAAATGTTCACCACTATTAATAAGCAGAAGGAACAAAATTTCAAGGATTGTCCTTGAAACCAGGTTTTAACCAATACCATTTGCGTTTTGATCTTCTTTCTTGACGGCCTTTTTTCCTATCTCTTCGCCCACCCTTCCTCTTCTTCCCACGTTTACACTTGTCTCTTTTTGTCAACCTCCTCCTCCTATGTCTTCTTCCATCGCTAGAGGAACTTGATTCAGATGCAGAGTCATCCAATTCTGAATCTGAAGAATAGGAATCGGAGTCAGAGTCAGAGCTGTAGAAATCAGATGAAGAGTATCTTCTTTTTCTTTTATTCCTTCTATCCTTCAAAGACTTTCTGCTTCTCTTCACTTGCTTGTCAGAACTGTCAGAAGAAGCAACTTTTTTTGATTTCTTCCCTTTCCCTGAAAACGAAAAACCATGTAGCGAAAAGTTGGCAACTGGTCCAAAAATCATGAATTGCTGTTTAAAACTCACAGCATTACCTTCAGTTTTCCCAATAGCATCCTGAAGTATACTTTCAGAGTATTCACCGCAGTCTGATATTTTGACAGGTTGAGAAAGCTTTCCATCACCTGTTCCAACTTGCTCCATTTTCTTCAAAACATCCATTCCCTTAATTACCTTGCCAAAAACAACATGCTTCCTGCCAACCAATCAATAAATGAGAAATCCATTGCTAAGTAGTGAATACAAAAACCAGACTGCCCAAATGGTCCAACTGATTGAACCGGAAACTAGAGGTCAATGCAATCTAAAGCGGTATGTATAACCGGGTTTTGGCACTTGAAAAAAATCCTGGTAACCTGGTAAAAAAGATGGTTTTAGGGTTTATTTTACTATCTTATTATTAAAAACACTTTTAAACAGGCAGCACTTGAACCCTTAACCTCTTAGTTCTATGTTGAAATCAAACCCTAAGCTGCACACATTTTTTTGTTAAGGATTTACTATATCTAATATCATAATCATGGACTCAATATTGTAATCATTTCAGTTGGACAGGCTAGTTAAAGTAATGGGACCAGAAAACAGAGCTTCCACTATTCAACTTGGTGAGTAGATTTTTATTCATTGTTGCTTAAGCAGTATAAGAAAGTTTCATCTTTCAAGTTGTAATTCATAAATAAGTAATAAGCAAATATTAAATACCCATCAAGATGGGGTTGTCGCTTGAAGGTTATAAAGAATTGAGACCCATTTGTGCTTGGACCACTGTTTGCCATAGAGAGAACCCCAGGACCATCATGAGCTAGTTTAAAGTTCTCATCTGCAAGGAAACATAAAATTTGATGATTAAGTTCTAAATCAATCTATCAGAAGACAATTTAAGAGCCCACATGCAAAGTCCTACCTGCAAACTTCCCTCCATAAATACTTTCTCCACCAGTGCCTGCAACCAATTAAAGGTCTTTCCTTACAAGTCTGGGCATAATTTAGATGTCAAATAAAACGTTTCCATGGATTGGAATGTGCAAGCATACCATTTCCCATTGAAAAGTCACCACCCTATAAAACCAACATAAAACAGAAAATGAATTAATAACCTGTCAGGTACATACTTTTGCAGGTGAAACCATATTTATAAGAATATCCATCTTTTTTTTTAATATTTTCATGTTAACTTACAATATGTATATTGTATAATGGTAAAACAATATGATTTTTCATTTTCCTTTCTCTCATTTCTCAATCATATAAAGCAATGGATGTAAGCAAAATTATTCGTTCTTTTTTTGTTATAAGAATTAACTTTTCAATCTTTCCTACCAAGCACATTATAGAAAGAAAATAAATACATGTTTTCCCCCTTTTTTTTCTTTTCCCTTCCAATTTTCTTTCTTTTCTCTACAGCATTTTCTAATGATTAGCGGGAAGCTAACTTTAAGTCCTAACTTTATTGCCTCAGGAAAAAGGTCATTTAAAATGCTTATATAAGATTAGAGCAAACGAACATTTTAGCAAACAGCAGGGATGAGAAAGCAGCATACTATCAGCAGAAATAGATATTAAGACAGAATAGTAAATATAAGCCAACTAAAAGTACAATTCTCTATTAAAACAAAAATTGCATCACTAGTAAGAGAACACTGCAAAAAAAAAGGAACTTTGACAATATACTACAAAAAGTTATGAGACAATCCTCATGGTAAACATTCTTCCATTTATTAATATGACTAAGGGAAGGAACAAATAACATACCTGAGCCATGAATCCTTTGATTATTCGATGGAAAAAAGTTCCTTTATAGTGCAAGGGTTTCCCGGTAGATTTGCCAATGCCCTTTTCACCTACAGTTTGACACAGTTCAGAATAATCAAACCGAACATACTTGTTTGCGAGGAAAATTCAAGAAGTATGTGAAGTTAATTCATCTGGCAGATAATACAGGCAAATAGTTTATCAGATGTAAATTGTGAAGCAAGGCTTCATGCGATTTGTCCTACTCAAAGAGAATATTAATGAGATTACCAAATCTTGTATCCATAGACTACAAAGTCTACAGTACTAGAAACATTATAAGGAACCTATAAAGACCTTAAAAATAATTGACAAAAACTGTAAAAAGATGACAACTATTGTAAGAACAACCAATTGAACTACACCATGAGTTAGTAAATATTGTATCCATAGACTACAAAGTCTACAGTACTAGAAACATTAATGACAACTATTGTAAGAACAACCGTAAATACAACATGAGTTAGTAAATATTGAAACTTTTAGAGATACCTGTACAGAGTGCCAGGAAATTCTCAGCTGTCTTGGGAACGACATCTGCAAATAGCTGTCAAAGTGGGGGAAAAGAACTTTATCCTTCCTTCGAAGTGTTAGTCTCAGGTGAGTTCTAAATTTCATCCCATATAAAAACACAGTTAAAGTCGAGCAGCTGGCTTTTAGCTTACCTCAATAACAACTTTTTCCACTGGATCTCCACCAATTGAAACATCTAAGAATACCAAAGGATTCTTTTTCTTACTCATCTCTCCTCCAACTAAAAAATGGGAAAATAATACCTCAAAGTTGGTACATAAATAATCCAACGCATAACAAATAATATATATATATATATAATATATATATATATATATAATATATAATAATATATATATCCACTTTATGATGTAAGTATCAAATAAAATTTGACTCAATTCTAATGTATCAATGTTCACAAGCTTCAAGAACAATTCTTTATAAAATTTGTCCTCTAACAATGCCCATAAGTTTCAAAGGAGCCTTCATCAAATTTTCAGTGCCAACAACAAAATAATTTCTCAATTAGTCAATTCTGCTTCCAACTTCTTTGTTTTTCTTTTATAAAAGCAACATAAATTAAAAATAAACGATGTAACGTTTAAGAATTTATTGACAACAAAAGTATGGAAAACACGAACCCTAATTTTACATTCAGGAGGGGGAAAAAGCTTGATGTTTAGCTAAAACGCTTAAACTTGCAACAACAACAGAAAAAATAACTATTTTTACCAATCACGAAGCAAATACTGGAAGAAAAATTACAGATAAATGAAGAAAGGCAACAGACCGGGGCGAATCGCAATGCAAGCTGAAAGAACTCGAGCTACAACTCGAAGACGGCGGCGATCATTACCAGTTAACGTGAGAGAGCGTTAGCAACCCTAGCTGCTTGCTTATGCTTAGCTCCTTTGTATTGAAAATCCATTGCCCAGAGTAATTTCTATTTTCCCAAACCAAAAAATATAGGTAAACTACTCATTTAATACCTAGATTATAAATATTGGTACATTTTAATACTTAAACTTTTATTTTTTTTAAAATCATACATAACGTTTAATTTTTGTTTATTTTAGTACCTTCAGTTAAAAATTTAACGAACAAGCTCGTTGATCGTCGCGCCAACTCATCAATCGTCGTATATGTTGGCCGATGAAGTCCAAACTTTTCATTTCATACATTTTTGACTCCCTGAATTCGATTCTGACCTCCGTTTCATCTAAAAACTCCTCAATCTCCCCTAATAACATAACACAATGGAGGCTAGTGCCACGAACCTCCAAAATTTGAAAAATTATAATTTTAACTTTAAAAATTTTCAAAATGTTTAATTTGACCCTCACAAAATTTTTAGAAATCCGTATTAATCTATACATTTTTTGAATATTCTTAATTAAACTCCTCTCATAATTTTTAAAAACTCTCATTAAGCCTCTTAAATTTTCAAAAATTTTAGTTAATCCATATTATCACCAAGTTCTGCCACTGATCTCCCCAAATCGATGAATGAACTCTTCAATTTCTTCATCCTCCGATCTCTTTGGTCCACCGTCCAATGGGCTTGAAAACTTGACTATGTTGGTTGACTTGTCATTCGCTCATGATCCACCGTTCGGATTAGTAACAACGGGGTACTAAAATAAAATAAAAATTAAACGCTAGACATGATTTAAAAAAATGAACGTTTATAAACTAAAATAGATCAAAACTGATAGTTTATATATTAAATGTATAGTTTACCCATATATATATATATATATTCCTTTTTCGGTTATACAGTTTCGTTATAATTTAATTATTTTTCTTACAATTATAGAAGTACATAAACTAGTTAAGTAAAATAGTATAAAAATATTTCTCAAATCAAAGAACATATATGTATGAAGCTGACAAGAAATAAAAAGATTTCTAATCTTAATTCTTTATTAGCTACTGAATGGGAGCTCTTTTTAATGTTGTGTTTGTTTTATGTTTTTATTTTATAGTTGTTTATTGGTTTTATTATTTATTTGTCTTTGAGGTTCTTCTGAATCAATAAACAATATTTATATAAAAAATATAATAAAAGGAGTATTGAAATTTCAACCCTTATGAAAGCTCGGATACATCACAAAAATAAATAGCTTATGAAACCCTAAGCCGATATTTGTTATATTATCTATTTCTATACACTTTTCTTATATTTCTTTATATTTTGTATTATTATTTTAATTTATAATAAGATATCAATACAATTTGTTTAGAAATAATAATTTGTTTATATCCAAAAATAAAATTATTACTCATGATTCTTCACCCGATGTTTAGATGATATAATACGGAACGAATTTTTTATTTATTTAATATTTCACAACTAATTAATTTTTAATTAATTAAAATAATTTTAATTAATTGGATAATTTTAATGGTTAATAAAGATATTATTTTCTTTTAAAATTTATAAGGTACGTCCGTTGTCCAAATTCAAAGGAGTACAATCACAAACGATATGGTATATTTCCCATAAATGACATGCATGTAGTGTGTATGCACAAAGCCTAAAATATGGCATGCGATTCTCGACCGAATGAAGCACAAGCCCAGGTGTCGACTGTCAGTTTCTCTTGCATCTCATCAGCCCATAGAAGAACCGAAGAATCAAAAGATTTTTAATTTTTTTTAATCATTGGTATCTAAGTCATTAACATATTAATTTAAATTAAATATTATAAAAATAATCTTTTCAACATATTTTTTTATTCACAACATCATAATTTGAACTCTAAATTATATTTAAAATACTCGTATTGCTACATCAAATGATAATCAATAATTTTTATACTTAAAAACAGAGATGGAGCTCTGTTGGGCCTAAAGGAGCCCCGACTCCTGTAAAAAAATTATATATTCGATAGATCTTGGGTTAATAATATTTTGGTTCATATAAAAATAAGTATTCAAATTTTTAAAAAAAATACAATAATTTATTTAATATTTAATTAAGTGGGGGACCAAACTAAAGAATAATAATCATATGTTCTCAAATTTTTTGGTCTAATAACAATTTAGGTCATTGTAAGTTTAAATATTAGACAAATTAGACATTGTCTTCTGAATTTTAAGTTTAAATACCTAACAAGTCATTATATTTTTCTTAAAAAATTTAACATTTCGACATCTTCCAATATTTAATCATCGTTGCTTAAAAGAAATCCACCTTACAAAAAAAAACCTGCTTTTTTATACATATCAATGCCATTCATGTGAATAAACAAAAATATCCTTGAACCATGTTAATGAGAAAGAATGTATAAAGAAATTTAATTAATAACACAATGGTTCATATTAGATTTAAGTTTTTTCCCTTTTTCATTAGTTTTATATTCCCATCAATGATGTGTTGTGAAGCCAGAAATTATAATTTATCAAATCCTATATACCGACGACTCATAAAATAATGGTAAAGAAACCAATGAAAATACTAGAGAAAACCACAGTAAAAAATAAAATGAAGAGGCTCTATTCTGTGCGTGAAGGGATAAGATGGGATCTCAAAAGCAGTAAAAAGACGGAATTTATCATTGAAAACTTTTTGAGAATCGGGAGATTCCTTCGTAAAAATTCATATATATTTAAATAAAGTCTCGAATTTAAATTCGATAGATAAAATATATTCGACCTTGAGAATATATGTTGTGCCGGGTTATAAATAATTTGGTCCCGTCACATGGATCGAAACAATGATGGCCATCTCATTTCTCATTTTCCCCCTGTTTTTTGCTTGCTGTACGAGTACTTAATCCCTGTAGAATATGTGTCACTTATAATGAGCGTAAAAAGAGGTAGTCAAAAGGAAAACCATGGGAAAAGTAATAACAAGGAGAATGGATTACATCAGGGATTGAAGAAGATCATCATTTCACCTATATATGGGAGAAAAATGAACCGAAAATCTGAGTATCTTAAAAAAAACGCAGCTGAGGGGCTTGTTTCGGTTCGTGACCCCAACATCAGGTGAAGCTACCACATGATCTGAACCATCCTTAGACGGCGAAGGAAGTTTAGATCATGCTGGCAGCTTCAACTAGTAGCGGGTGCACGTGAATCAAGCTGATGAATATTATGATGAGAGATTTGAATTCTGAATGATGGAATTATGAGGATAGGTTGAGAAGAGGAGATTAAGGATATATATAAAGAGGGCATTTGAGTGGTTTAGGTGATTTGCTTTGGCTTTGATGATTAAGACTTGAGAGTTGTTGGATTCTGATAAAAGAAATAGCAATGGATTGGGTGGGCAATGGGGAGTGGTCCAAAGTGAGACAAAATGAATATGGCAACTCCAATACCATTCAGCTTACGACAAGTTCTAAAATTACTCGCTATGAGGGCGAGGGGAGGCCTTTATCAATTTTACATGGGTATCTCCTTTGAAAGTTTCAACCTAAAAATATATATGATTATACCATATTATGATAATACATTGATTATTGTTATATCTCTTGTATAAATTCGTTGGAGAATACCGATATTCTTTAATAAAGTCATCTAGAATATCAAGTGAACTATTAACCGTTTCAGGTTATTAAAAAAACAATAATATTCACGGAAAAAAAACTTTTAAATTTTTTTCAAAAATATCATGTCACTTTCGGAGTTACCCTAATAAAATGATCACTCGGAACTATTATCCATTAATGAGACTTTGACAATAAAATCTGATGGTTGACAGTCACATCTATACAAATAATTGATAGCATAATGACAGACATAATGACATTAGATCTGACACCAATCACCTTATGATCGGGATATTTATACCACAAAAAAAACTAAAAGGAGGTTTTCTCCTCCTACTTTGAATGCTTATCGACACCTGTCATTCTCTTTTCTTCTTTCATTATTTTCTAATAAAAAAGTATCGATCAACAAATGTTTACTTATCAATCGTAGTTCTATATCAAAATCGAAAAAGGTGAATCAACTACTTCCGACAAATTATATTTATTCTCATCAACAATTATGATAATATAGGCAGAAACCCTAAACAATATCAATATCACGAGACTCTCTTTCTCTTTCTCACTCGATGGAATCTTCAGTGACTACTTTAGCGAGTACCTTCCTTCATTTCAAGCATCTAATCCTTTATATACATATATAAAAAAAATGAGATGCCATTTGTCAGAAAACTCGATCCTGTTTCGCATCTAATTGGTGTCGATTAGTTATAAGAAGGAATTCACAAAAGGGGAGGTTTGACAGACGTAAAACTTTGATTAAGCATAAATCATTGATTTAAAAGAACCCTAATCATAATGATTACAAATGTACATGATTTTGATACTCAGTTTTGATCCTTTCGGTAGGTTTATGCAGAACGGACCAACAAAGGCGTGCCAGAATTGATTCCCTATCCGAATTCCGGTACAGATTATAATATTCCATTGGAAAAATTCCTTAGAACTTGGCTGCAATGGGGTCTGAACAAATAATCAATCACAGTGAACAACTTTCATATTTTTTAATAGTACGTGGTGAGGAACAACAACACTTCACAATTTTTGTTTCTTTATTTCCATCTCTGTGAAAGAAAATCATAAAGAAAGGGGTACCTTATTGCTTATACGTGTCTTTAATTGTACTATGCACCTTGAAATTATTGGATTGAAAAATTAGATACATGACATGGTGATGTTATTGGTGCAATTGATAAAAATAAGCTAATTTTGAGGAATTTTTGTTTATTATATTTTCACTCTTTATTTATAATTTTATTTCGTTCTTAAGTCCACAATTAGAAAATTATTTATTAATTATTAAATAATTTTTTATAAACATTTTACTGGTCCACTTTTCACATGGTCCAATAAGCAAGAGCATCTTATTTAGCCAAGAAATTAGACAGAATTCTCATTAATCCTCAATGGTTGCTTGATTTTCCAGACTCCTATGCAGAAT